GGGGTGTTTTTTCTATGATTTTCTGGCTTTTTTTCCTCCTTAACGGGAGAGAATTCCTGGGTTTTTTTCTGGGGTTTTTTTCCCATTTTTTCCTGATTTTTTTCCCATTTCTTCCTGATTTTTCCCTATTTTTTGGGTGGTTTTTCCATGATTTTGCCATTTCTTTTCCTCCTTAATGAGAGAGAATTCCCAGGTTTTTTTCCTGAATTTTTGAAGTGTTTTTTCCATGATTTTCCACATTTTTTTCCTCTTTAATGGGAGAGAATTCCTGGTTTTTTTCTGTTTTTTTTCCTGTTTTTTCCTGGTTTTTTGGGTGTTTTTTCCCTGATTTTCCAGCTTTTTTTCTCCTTAATGGGAGAGAATTCCCAGGTTTTTTTCCCGGATTTTTGAGGTGTTTTTTCCATGATTTTCCGGCTTTTTTCCCTCCTTCATGGGAGAGAATTCCTGGGTTTTTTCTGGGGTTTTTCCCATCTTTTCCCGATTTTTTTCCTGGTTTTTTGGCTGTTTTTTCCCTATTTTTCCAGCTTTTTTTCCTCCTTGATGAGAGAGAATTCCCGTTTTTTTTCCTGTTTTTTTTCCCATTTTTTCCCATTTTTTTCCTGGTTTTTTGGGCACTTTTCCCATTATTTTCCAGGTCTTTCTCCCTCTTAATGGGAGAGAATTCCCAGGTTTTTTCCTCAATTTTTTGGGTGGTTTTTCCATTATTTTCTGGCTTTTTTTCCTCCTTAATGGGAGAAAATTCCAGGGTTTTTTTTCTGATTTTTTCCCCTTTTTTTCCTGATTTTTCCCATTTTTTTGGGCAGCTTTTCCATGATTTTCCATCTCTTTTTCCCCATTAATGTCATGAAATTCCCGGTTTCTTTCCTGGATTTTTTGAGGTGGTTTTTCCACGATTTTCCAGTGATTTTTCTTTCTTAATGGGAAGAAATTCCCGGATTTTTTTCCTCCTTTTTCCTGTTTTTTTTCCCATTTTTTGGGTTTTTTTTCCATCATTTTCCATCTCTTTTTCCTTGTTATTGGGAAGGAATTCCCAGTTTTTACCCTGGATTTTTTTAGGCAGTTTTCCCATGATTTTCTTGTGATTTTTTTCTCTTTAATGGGACAAAATTCCCAGGTTTTTCCCCGGATTTTTCCATGATTTTCCAGCTCTTTTTCCTTCTTAACGGGAGAAAATTCCTGGATTTTTTCCAGGATTTTTTTGGGCAATTTTTCCTGGATTTTCCAACTTTTTTCCTTCTTAATGGAACAGAATTCCTGATTTTTTTCCTGGTTTTATCCTGGATTTTTGTGGGATTTTTTCCCTGACTGTTCTTGATGGGAGAGAATTCCCAGATTTTTTTCCCACTTTTTTTCCCAGATTTTTCCATGATTTTCCAGCTCTTTTTCCTTTTTAACGGGAGCGAATTCCTGGGTTTTTTCCTGGGTTTTTTTTCTCCTTTTTTCTGATTTTTTTCCTGGATTTTTTGGGGTGTTTTTTTCTTAATTTTCCGATTTTCTTTCCTTTTTTAGCACGAGAGAATTCCCGTTTTTTTGGGGATTTTTTTCCATGATTTTCCAGCTCTCTTTTCTGATTTTTTTTCCGGAATTTTTTCCGGAATTCCTGATTTTTTTCCCGGATTTTTTAGGGTGATTTTTCCATGATTTTCCAGCTTTTTCTGGGTTTTTTTCCTGGTTTATTCCCTCTTTTTTTGGGATTTTTTTTCCATGATTTTCCAGCTCTTTTTTCCTCCTCAATGGGCCGGAATTCCTGATTTTTTTTCCTGGTTTTTTTCCTTCTTTTTCCCTGTTTTTTTTTTCCTGGATTTTTTGGGGTGGTTCTCCCAGAATTTTCCAGAAATTTTTCCTTCTTAATGAGAGAAAATTCCCGATTTTTTTTCCCAGATTTTTGGGGTGACTTTTCCACGATTTTCCAGCTCTTTTTCCTCCTCAACTGGAGGGAATTCCTGATTTTTTTTTTTTCCTGGAATTTTTTAGGGATGGTTTTTCCATGATTTTCCAGCTCTTTTTCCTCCTTAATGGGAAGAAATTCCGGATTTTTTTCCTGTTTTTTTCCTGGAATTTTTTTTGGGATGATTTTTCTGGAATTTTCCATCTCCCAGGATGAGATCCCCAGGAGAGAATTCCTGGGATTTTTTTCCATGATTTTCCACCTTTTCCTCCTGTTCAATTCACAAATCCTTCATTTTTTTTTTGGGGAATATTCAGGAATTTAGGTGGGAAAATCATTGGGAATGAGAAATCCTTTAAAAATCAGAACGGGATTGAGGAAAATCGGGAATTCCAAAGGAATTCCAGAGATTTTATTCCCATTTTTTGGTGGATTTTTTTTTAATATCTCGGAGTTGGGAAGGGCGGAATTCCAGGATTTTGATCTTGGGATCATCCCGGTGAATTTCCAGAAAATTCCATGGGAATAAGAGCTGGGAAAAATCCAGGGATGGGATTTTATCCCCCAAAAAAATGGGAATTCTGGGATTCTGAGATCGGGATTATCCCAATGAGGATCCCATAAAAAACGGGTGGGAAAATTTTTGGGATGGGATTTTATCCCAAAAAAAAAGGATGGAATTCCGGGATTTTGAGCTCGGGATCATCCCGGTGAGAGCTCCAGGGAATTCCGTGGAAAAAAGAGCTGGAAAAAGTCATGGAATGGGATTTTTATCCCAAAAAAAGGACAAAATTCCAGGATTTTGAGCTGAAGATCATGCCAATGAGGATCCCATAAAAAACTGGTGGAAAAATTTTTGGGATGGGATTCTGTCCCAAAAAAACCCACAGAATTCCAGGATTTTGAGCTCAGGATCATCCCAGTGACAGCCCTGAGGAATTCCATGGAAAAAAGAGCTGGAAAAAGTCATGGAATGGGATTTTTATCCCAAAAAAAGGACAAAATTCCAGGATTTTGAGCTTGGGATTATCTCAATAAGGATCCCATAAAAAACTGGTGGGAAAATTTTTGGGATGGGATTTTGTCCCAAAAAAAGGGAGGAAATTCCAGGATTTTGAGCTTGGGATTATCCCGATGAGGGCGCAGGAATGAGATTCCATGGAAAAAAAGCTGGGAAATTTTTTTGGGATGGGATTTTATCCCCAAAAAAAGTGGAATTCCGGGATTTTGAGCTCGGCATCAACCCAGTGACACTTCCAGGGAATTCCATGGAAAAAAGAGCTGGAAAAAGTCATGGAATGGGATTTTATCCCAAAAAAAAGGAGAAAATTCTGGGATTTTGAGTTTGGGATTATCCTGATGAGGGCACGGGAAGGAGACTCCATGAAAAAAGAGCGGGAAAACTCCTGGGATGGGATTTTGTCCCAAAAAAAGGGAGGAAATTCCAGGATTTTGAGCTTGGGATTATCCCAATGAGGGCACAGGAATGAGATTCCATGAAAAAACAGTGGGAAAATTTTTAGGGTGAGATTTTATCCCAAAAAAACCCCCACGGAATTCCGGGTGCCGACAACACCGCCAACGATCCCACGATAAAAAAAAAAAAAAAAAAATCCCAATTTCCCTTCATCAACAACTCCCAAAATTCCCAAAATTCCAATCTCCACCCCATTTTCCAGGGAGGGTTTTGAGGGATGATTTCTTTTCGGGATAGATCCGGGATAATTCGGGAATTTCCTGTTCCCGCAGCCGCCGCTGAACGCTCAGATGTTGGCGCAGCGGCAGCGCGAGCTCTACAGCCAACAGCACCGGCAGCGGCAGCTGATGCAGCAACGCGCCCTCCTCATGCGGCAGCAGAATTTCGGGAATTCCGCCGCCGGAATTCCCATGGGAAACCCGAGGTTGGCTCAAGCCCCGCCCCAGCAGTTCCCGTATCCCCCCGGTTACGGTACGAACGCCGGGAATGCCGGCGGATCCGCGTTCTCCGGAGAGGCGGCGGCGTTGGGGAATCGTGGATCGCTGGGGAATCGCGGGATGATGGGAGCGCAGTTCGGAGCCGGAGCCGGGATGGGCCCGGCGGGGATCCAGCAGAATTTGTTCCAATATTCGGGATCAGGTACGGGAATTTGGGATTGGGGAGGGTGGGAATGGGGAAAAGTGGGATTTGGGGAGGGATTTACGGGTTGGGAGGCGTTTGGGGATGGAATTCCCGGAGAATCCCCGGGAATGTCCAAGGAAAAGCCGGAGCAGGCTGGGAATGGGATTGGAAATCCGTGGATCCCGTCCCGAGGAATTCTGGGATTCTGGGATCCGGGACCCTCAGGATCCATCCCGAGGGATTTTTATGGAATTTGGGAATGGAAATCCAGGGATTTTCTGGGATGGGATGAGCCGGAGCTTGGTGGGAATCCCTCGGAATCCCGAATTCCCGATCCAGGCTCCGTCCGTGACCTGAATCCCACTTTTTTTATGGGAAGAGCGATTTTCCTGCCCGGATTCCCGGCCCTGCTCCCACTCCGGGATCCCTGGGATGAATCCAGGCAAAAATCCAAGGAAAAACCTTTCCCTGGGATGGGGAATTCAGGTTCTGGAGCGAGGAATTCCCTGGAAAAGCCGGGGATGGGGATTCCTGGGAATGTGGGGCAGCAAATCCCGGGATTTGGGGATTCCTCAGGGCTGGAATTCCCAGAGAATCCCTGGGAGCGCCCAAGGAAAAGCCAGAGCGGGCTGGGAATGGGATGGGATTGGAAATCCATGGATCCCATCCCGAAGAATTCTGGGATTCCGGGATCCAGGAGGCTCCGGATCCATCCCGAGGGATTTTTACGGAATTCTGGGAAGGGAGACCCTTCCTGGAGTCCCCAATTCCCAGAGAATTCCCAAAATCCCTTCCTGGAGAAGAATCGGGATGGGAGAGATGGGAATGGAGGGAATTCCACGGGAAAACGGGGATAAATTTGGGATTTTGGAAGAATTCCCAGAATTCCTAGAGAATCCCTGGGATGACTCAAGCAAAAAACCTGGAACACCCCAGAATCATCGGGACAGGGACACAATTCCCTGAATCCCTTCCCAAAACTCCGCCGTCGAAATCCTTGGAATGGAGAGGAGGGGGGAAAAAAAACCCGGGAATTTTGAGAATCCGTCGGTAATTCCGTGCCGGAATTCCCAGGGATGGCGCAGCAGAGCGACGGCGCCTTCGCGCCCGCGCTGAGCCCCGGCAGCCCCCTGATGTCACCGCAGCTGCCGCCGGCGCCGCCCGCGCCCGGATACCAATCGCCGGAAGTGAAATCATGGAATAACGGGTGAGGAACGGCGGGAAACGGAGCCGGGGGTTGGCCGTGGGAAAGGGAATTCGGGATTATCCATTGGAATAACGCCATGGGATTATCCGTGGGAGTCAGCGTTTGGAATTATCAGTGGAATTACCCATGGGATTATCCATGGGAAACAGCCTTTGGGATTATCCATGGGAAACAGCCTTTGGGATTATCCATGGGAAACAGGCTTTGGAATTATCTGTGGGATTATCCATGGGATTATCCTTGGGAATGAAGTTTTGGGATTATCCATTGGAATAACACCTTGGGATTATCCATGGGAGGGTTCATTGGGATTATCCATTGGGATTATCCCTTGGAATTATTCATTGGAATTATTCATTGGAAGTATTCATTGGAATTATTCATTGGAATTATTCATTGGAATTATCCATTGGGATTATCCATTGGGATTATCCATTGGGATTATTCATTAGGATAACTCCTTGGGATTATCCATGCAATTATCCATAGAAAACAGCCTTTGGGATTATCCATTGGAATAACACCATGGGATTATCCATAGGAATCAGCCTTTGGGATTATCCATTGGAATAAACCCTTGGGATTATCCATGGGATTATCCATGGGATGGTTCATTGGGATTATCCTTTGGAATTATCCATTGGAATTATTCACTGGAATAACACCATGGGATTATCCATGGGAAATAGCCTTTGGAATTATCCATGGGATTTTCCATAGGAAACAGGTTTTGGGATTATCCATGGGATTATCCATTGGAATAACCTCATGGGATTATCCATGGGATGGTTTGTTGGAATTAATTCTCCATTGGAATAACCCCATGGGATTATCCATGGGATGGTTCATTGGGATTATCCCTTGGAGTTATCCATTGGAATAACACCATGGGATGGCTCATTGGAATTACCCATGGGATTATCCATGGGAAACAGCCTTTGGAATTATGCACTGGGATTATCCATTGGAATAACACCATGGGATTATCCATAGGAAACAGCCTTTGGGATTGCCCGTTGGGATTATCTGTTGGGATTATCCATTGGAATAACCCCTTGGGATTATCCATGGGATTATCCATAGGAAGCAGCTTTGGGGATTTTCCATGGGAATCAATCTTTGGGATTATCTATGGAATTATCCATTGGAATAATCCCATGGGATTATCTTCGGGAATCAGCCTTTGGAATTATTCATTGGAATCAGCCTTTGGGATTATCCATGGGATTATCCATAGGAAACAGCGTTTGGGATTATCCATGGGATGGCTCGTTGGAGTTATCCATTGGAATAACTTCTTGGAATTATCCATGGGATTATCCATAGGAAAGAGCCTTTGGAATTATCCATAGGATTATCCATTGGAATGACCCCATGGGATTATTTATTATCAGCCATTGGAATGAGGCATTGGGATTATCCATTGGAATAACCCATGGGATTATCCATTGGAATGAGCCATTGGAATTATCCATTGGAATGAGCCATTGGAATTATCCATTGGAATGAGCCATTGGAATTATCCATTGGGATGAGCTGTTGGGATTATCCACGGGATGGTGGGTTGGGGTTATCCATTGGGATTTTCCATTGGAATGACTCCATGGGATTATCCATGGGAAACAACTGTTGGGATTTTCCATTGGAATAATTCCTTGGGATTATCCATGGGATGGCTCATTGGAATTATCCATTGGGATTATCCATGGGAGTCAGCCCTTGGAATTATCCATGGGAGTCAGTTTTTGGAATTATCCAGGGGATTATCCATGGGAGACGGATTTTGGGATTGTCCATTGGAATAATCCCATGGGATTATCCGTGGGATGGTTTGTTTGAATTATCCATGGGATTATCCATGGGATTATCCATGGGAATGATCCATGGGAATGATCCATTGGAATCACCCTTTGGAATCATCTCCTGGCCATGGGATGGGGCTGTGGATCCCTGGGAAGAGGGAATGGGATCAGGAACGGGATCAGGAATGGGATCAGGAATGGGATCAGGAATGGATCAGGAATGGATCAGGAATGGATCAGGAATGGGATCAGGAATGGATCAGGAATGGATCAGGAATGGATCAGGAACGGGATCAGGAACGGGATCAGGAATGGATCAGGAATGGGATCAGGAATGGGATCAGGAATGGGATCAGGAATGGATCAGGAATGGGATCAGGAATGGGATCAGGAATGGATCAGGAATGGGATCAGGAATGGATCAGGAATGGATCAGGAATGGATCAGGAACGGGATCAGGAACGGGATCAGGAATGGATCAGGAATGGGATCAGGAATGGGATCAGGAATGGGATCAGGAATGGATCAGGAATGGGATCAGGAATGGGATCAGGAATGGGATCAGGAATGGATCAGGAATGGGATCAGGAATGGATCAGGAATGGATCAGGAATGGATCAGGAACGGGATCAGGAACGGGATCAGGAATGGATCAGGAATGGGATCAGGAATGGGATCAGGAATGGGATCAGGAATGGATCAGGAATGGGATCAGGAATGGGATCAGGAATGGGATCAGGAATGGATCAGGAATGGGATCAGGAATGGATCAGGAATGGATCAGGAATGGGATCAGGAACGGGATCAGGAACGGGATCAGGAACGGGATCAGGAATGGATCAGGAACGGGATCAGGAACGGGATCAGGAACGGGATCAGGAACGGGATCAGGAACGGGATCAGGAATGGATCAGGAATGGATCAGGAACGGGATCAGGAACGGGATCAGGAACGGGATCAGGAATGGGATCAGGAATGGATCAGGAATGGGATCAGGAATGGATCAGGAATGGGATCAGGAATGGATCAGGAACGGGATCAGGAACGGGATCAGGAATGGATCAGGAATGGAATCAGGAACGGGATCAGGAATGGGATCAGGAATGGATCAGGAATGGATCAGGAATGGGATCAGGAATGGATCAGGAATGGATCAGGAATGGGATCAGGAGTGGATCAGGAATGGATCAGGAATGGATCAGGAATGGGTGGGTACAGGATGGGAGCAGCTCCAGGGAAACTTGGGGTGGGATTTTGGGAAGGAATTCCCAGCTGGGCTGGAATTCCCAGAGAATCCCTGGGAGTGTCCAAGGAAAGGTCGGAGTGAGATGAGAGCAGGTTGGGAATGGGACTGGGATCCCATCCCAAGGAATCCCGGGATTCCGGGATCCAGGATGCTCAGGATCCATCCCGAGGGGTTTTTATGGAATTCTGGGATAGGAGACCCTTCCTGCAGTCCCCAATTCCCAGGGAATTCCCAGAATTCCTTCCCTTGGGATGGGGCTGGATCCAACCCCAGGCTGGGATTTGGGAGACAATTCCCTGTCAAAACAGGAAGAAATTTGGGAAGCAATTCCCAAAAAACCCCCGAGACCATCAGAATTTCACCTCTCCGACCTCCACAGATCCGGAACCGTTGGCAATTCCGGGGTTGTTTTTGCTGACTCTTTTCCCGCTTTTTTTCCCGGTTTTTCCAGGGTGTTCGGGCAGGCTCCGGCGGCTCCGGCGGCTCCGGCGGGAATGTACAACAACATGAGCATCACCGTGTCCATGGGCGGCTCCGGCGGCACCGGCGCCGTTCCCAGCATGGCAGCCATGGCCGGCGGAATTCCCATGAATTCCATGATGGCCGGGATGAATTCCATGTGCTCCGAGCAGGTGGGAGGGGATGGAGATCGCTGGGATTTGGGGGGTGGGAATTGGGGTGGGGATCGGGAACGGGATGGGAATGGGATCAGGAACGGGATGGGAATGGGATGGGAATGGATTCAGGAATGGGATGGGAATGGATTCAGGAATGGGATGGGAATGGATTCAGGAATGGGATGGGAATGGATTCAGGAATGGGATGGGAATGGGATCAGGAATGGGATGGGAATGGATTCAGGAATGGGATGGGAATGGATTCAGGAACGGGATGGGAATGGGATCAGGAACGGGATGGGAATGGGATCAGGAACGGGATGGGAATGGAATCAGGAATGGGACTGGGAATAGGACTGGGAATGAGATCAGGAATGGGATGGGAACGGGAGCAGACTGGGAGCAGCTCCACACAAACAGGAGATCCCTGGAGCTCCCCATCCCCAAATCCCGGCCGGAGCCGCTCCGGAGCCGCTGGAATCGTGGCTGGAATGGGATTGGGAATGGGGCTGTGGATCCCTGGGATTGGGAATGGGATCAGGAATGGGATCAGGAATGGGATTGGGAATGGGATCAGGAATGGGATTGGGAATGGGATCAGGAATGGGATCAGGAATGGGATTGGGAATGAGGATCAGGAATGGGATCAGGAATGGGATCAGGAATGGGGCTGTGGATCCCTAGGAATGGGATCAGGAATGGGGCTGTGGATCCCTGGGAATGGGATCAGGAATGGGGCTGTGGATCCCTGGGAATGGGATCAGGAATGGGGCTGTGGATCCCTGGGAATGGGATTGGGAACGGGAGCAGATTGGGAGCAGCTCCACACAAACAGGAGATCCCTGGAGCTCCCCATCCCCAAATCCCGGCCGGAGCCGCTCCGGAGGCTCCGGAATGGCGGCTGAGCGCGGCCGTTGCTCCCGGCAGGTCCCGGACGCGGCGCTGAGACCTCCAGGGCTCTTCTGTAACCAGCTGGGCTCCGGGGAGCTGCTCAAGGCCGAGCCCGACGGCGCCCAGGTCAGTTGGTGCTCCTCAAACTTCTGGGAAGCTCCGGAGATCCGGGATATTCCCAAAAAAAAACCTCGGGATGTTCCCTGGGGATGTTCCCGGAAGGGTCAGGCAGGAGAGCGACGTTGGGGTGAAGGAACCGCGGTGGTGGGGGCACCCGTGGGGTGACACCTCTTGGGTTGGAGCCACCAGGGTCACACCAGTGGTGGGTGACACCCATGGGGTGACACCTTCAGGCTGGGAGCCACCACGGTCACACTGCAGTTGGGTGACACCCATGGGGTGACACCTCTTGGGTTGGAGCTACCAAGGTCCCACCACTGGTGGGTGACACCCATTGGGTGACACCTCTTGGGTTGGAGCCACCAAGGCAAGGTCACACCGGTGTTTGGTGACACCCGTTGGGTGACACCTCCTGGGTTGGAGCCACCAAGGTCTGTCTAAAGTTGGGTGACACCCATTGGGTGACACTTTTGGGGTTGGAGCCACCAAGGTCCTACAGGAGTTTGGTGACACCCATGGGTGACACCTCTTGGGCCCGAAGCGGCCATGGTCACACCAGTGGTGGGTGACACCCATAGGGTTGAAGCCAACCAAGGTCACACCTGTGTTTGGTGACACCCATTGGGTGACACCTCTTGGGTTGGAGCCACCAAGGCAAGGTCACACCGGTGTTTGGTGACACCCATTGGGTGACACCTCTTGGGTTGAAGCCACCAAGGTCCATCTAGAGTTGGGTGACACCCCTTGGTGACACCTCCTGGGCTTGAAGCCACCAAGGCAAGGTCCCACAGGAGTTGGGTGACACCCATTGGTGACAGCTTTGGGGTTGGAGCCACCAAGGCAAGGTCACACCGTTGGTGGGTGACACCTCTTGGGTTGGAGCCACCGAGGTCCATCTAGAGTTGGGTGACACCCCTTGGTGACACCTCCTGGGCTTGGAGCCACCAAGGCAAGGTCCCACAGGAGTTGGGTGACACCCGTTGGTGACACCCGTTGGGTTAAGTTATCAAGGCAGGGTCACACCAGTATTGGGTGACACCCATGGGGTGACACCTCTTGGGTTGGAGGCACCAAGGTCCTACAGGAGTTGGGGGACACCCATTGGTTGGAGCAACCGAGGTCCCACCAGTGTTTGGTGACACCCATGGGGTGACACCTTTGGGGTTGAAGCCACCAAGGCAAGGTCACACTGGAGTTGGGTGGCACCCATTGGGTGACCCCTTGGGGGTTGAAGCCACCAAGGTCCATCTAAAGTTGGGTGACACCCATTGGGTGACACCTTGGGGGTTGAAGCCACCAAGG